GAGAGGGGGAGGGGAGGAGCGCCAGACGAGGAGAAGGACGGTCCGGGGCTGGGGTTGCGGTGGGGACGGGGCGCCGAACAAATGGGGAGGGGAATGAGAGGGGCGGCGGCGGTGGCGCAGGAGGCCGGAAGGGAAGGCGCAGCCGGGGAAGGGGGGGGGGGAGAGAGGGAGAGAGGGGGAGGGAGAAAGGGGCTGCCAGGGACCACAGCCCCAGAACCGGGGTGGGGCGGCCGAAAACCGGCCAGATCGTCGCCCGGGCAAGGGGACGCAGCCACACCCGGGCGCAGGGACACGGCCATGGTCGCCCCCGGCGCCACCGGGGACACCCATGGCCACGGGCCGGGACACAATCAGACACACACATACACACACAGACAGGGACAGACAGAGAGAGATACACACAGGTGCGAGCACGACTCATGCGCAGTGCGCACTGCGGGGCAGGGACGCCGCCAGGAGCGGGACAGGGGGGGGGGGGGGGGGGGATCTCCCAGCCCGTCCGGCCCCGGCGGTATGCATGCCCGTCCCTCGCCCGGGGCTGCGCGGGCAAATATGCATGCTTGCGAAGGCGGAGATCTCCGCCTTACCAGGGCGTAGGCCCCCCCGGCCCCCTGGTCTTCGGATTCCGAATCCGGGCCCGGCGACCGCCTGTCTAATGGGCGGGGGGGACATCTTGGAGCCCTTTTGACCCCCTCTCCGGCCCCCGCGTGCGGGGGCACCCGAACACCACCGATCTCGACTTGCTCGCGGCCTGGCCGGCTGCGCCACTGCTCTAGAACATACCATCTGCCTGCCCAAGCGCCGGCTACGCGCGGAGGGACACGGACACCGGCGGTGACCCGCCCGGTGTCCGGACGCGCCATCGGCCCTCGGTTCCCCCCCCCCCCCCCCCCCCGGCCCCTCCCGGAAGCGTGCAGGCGGCGAGTCCGCCCCCCCCCCGGACGAGGGGCGGGGAAGAAGCAGTCGAAATGGCGGTCATGTGACGAAATCGAGACATTTCGTCTGCCCCCGTCTATCTTTCTCACCCACCTGCCCGACGAGAAGGACGCGCCGCACCCGGAGACCCGCTCGCCGCCCAAGAGGGGAAGGGCTGCATGCGGAAGACCAGCACGCGCACACAACATGCCTCGGGCGAGGCGCGTGTCGGCCGGCAACCATGGGCCTGCGTTGGCAGCTTGGCCGATCTGGCTCGGGGATTGTTCCCCGGCCGGGCCCGCCCCGCGCCCCTCCCCCTCCCCAGGCCTGGGTGGGTGTTTTTTTTTTTCTTGGGTCTGCTCCTCCTTCACGCGGTGACCCGGCCCCGCCGCCGCGCTTGCCCCTGCCGCCCGGCAGGGTGCAGGAGCTGGGTGGGAGTCACTCCCTTGTATGAAGTTAAAAGCCTGCCCACGCTCATGTAACATCTCGGAGGGTGCATGTGCACATGCAGATGCAGATGCATACATAATACACACACACACAGGCACATAGGCACACAGGCACGCAAGCACGCAAGCACGCAGAACAATACGTTTGGGTTGTTTCGTATTGGGAGGGGAAGTGTACAGAAGCGGGAGGGAGTGCGCACAACACACGCAGCCTCTTCCTCTCTCTGTATTGCGGTGAAGGAGGGCATGGAAGGGGGGAGAGAGAGAGGAGGGGGAGGGGGGAGAGAGAGAGGAGGGGGAGGGGGGAGATAAGGATAGATAGAGAGGCATGTGAAGAGGGGGGAAGGGAGACGGCCTCGGGCCAGGAGGGGGGGGGGGCAGGGGACACGTGCTGGCACGCGCAGCAGCAGCAGCAGCAGCAGCAGCAGCAGCAGCAGCAGCAACGACAGCCACCGGGGCGGGGAAAGGAAGAAGAGGGACACAGCGCGTCAGCGGCATGTCCAGGGCGCAGGACCCGTGCGATAATGGCTCGGCTCAAAGGTGTCCCACCGGGCAGAAGGGAGGACAGACAAAACCAGCGGCACAGAGGCAACCATGCATACAGATGGGAGGGGGGAGGGGGGGGGGGGGGGGCCAAAGCGCACACAGCCCAAACACCGGTCAGGGGAGCGGCAGAAATGAAAGGCCCCCCCCCCCTTGCCCCGGCGTGCAGGCATATATGCACACGCCTTAGTCCTGGTTAGAGACGCCAGCCGGAACGCCACCGGCCGAGGGGCCGGCACCCGTGCCGGAAGCCTTGTCGTCCTCGTCATCCGAGCCGGCGGTCACAACGCTGGAGGCCAGACGGCTGGACGCGCGAGGGGGAGCGACGTCGGCCCCGGCAGGCGTCGACTCCGGCACCGAGTGGGGGATGTTGCGCGGGTCGGGGATGCCCACACCGACGAGGTCATTGCCACCGAGCTTGTTGGAGGCGCGGCCCCCGCCGTTGGCGCCCTTCGAGCGGTTCATCTCATACTCACCGGAGTCGAAGTACTTGCGGGTGCCCTATGCAACGGGGAGGAGGGAGCGGGGAGAGTGCCGGGGAAGGGGAGGAACATGAAGGGGATCGGCGTGAGCGAGGCATGCGGGGGAGGAAGAGGGCGACAGCAAGTCGAGAAGGACGAGGAGGGAGGGGGGGGGAGGGGGAAGAAGGGACAGGCAGACGCACCTTGATGAGGGGCTTGCTGCGGACTTGGCCATAGCGCTCGTAAATGGCCCGCTCTTCGGGGGAAAGAGTCTGCATGGGACGCATGTGGTTGGTCAGCGAAGTGAGCGGCGATGTGTTGGGTGGATGGGGCCGTGTGTGGGTGGGTGCGAGGAGGCCGGACAGGGAGGAAGGGGGGGAAGGGGGGGGGGACGCACGCTCGGGTCGATCTGTTTCTTGGGCGGACGGCTGCTCATGACGCTGGGACGGGAGGGAAGAGGGGGAGGAAAGAGGACGCTTGGGAGATGGGGCGACTTCTGTGGGCAAGGGGTCAGCCTTGGGAATGGGGCGTGTGGGGGGGGGGGGGAAGAGAGCGAAAGACAGATAAATCCAGCGGAAGACAGAGAGGGGGAGGGAGAAGGGAGGGGACTTACGCGCGCGAGTCTAGGCGATTGGGGGGGAGGGGAGGGGGGACGGAGAAGGGGGAGAAGAGGCAGGAGATTTGTTGCGCGAGGGCGCCAACGTGGCACCGCGCCACAGCACATCCTGAACTAAGGGGATGCGCCCCGGGCCGCTAGGTGCCCATAATCCAAGGGACATTGGTGTGTGTGTGTGTGTGTGTGTGTGTGTGTGTGTGTGTGTGTGTGTGTGTGCGTGTGCGTGTGTGTCCGGGTGTGTCCGGGTACCCCGCGCTGCCCCCGCACGCGGAGCTTGTCCAGGACACACAGACACACAAACACACGCACACGTTCGTCGGACGTGTGCCCCCTCCCCCCGGCAGGCAGGCGGAGGCTAGTGCCCGGGCAGGATCGGGGCTCGGGCCCGCCGGGAGCCGGGGCAGGGGCCAGGGGGCGGCAACGCGTCCACGGGGCCGAGATAGAAGAATACGGCCATGTTCGCGCCGGCATCCGCGCGCCCCGGCCCCCAGCTCGGCTCGCGTTCTTGCGCCACGGGCCCCAGGCCCCCAGGACCGGACCTTGCTGGCATGAGGGGCGGACAAAGAAGACGAGCGGGCCCGGGGCCCGGGGCGCGGGGGGGGGGGGGCCTGGGTTGAAACGCGCGAGGACCCGAGCGTATGCGGTATCAGTGGGCATTCCATGGGTGCACACCCGCGGATCCCCCAACCCCCCCCCCCGTTTCCTCGGCGCCCCCCGTCGTCGACGGTCTCCCCCGCCCCGGCCAGCCAACCATGTTCACCCTGGCCGCGAGAGCCCGGGAAATAGCAAACCAGCGATCGCGCCCGACCCCGCACCCGGGGTACGGAGACCTGCTTTGGTGGCGAGGGAAGATCGGCGTCCAGGGGGAGGGGAGAGGGGGGGCGGGGGGCGGGGGGCGGGGGGGCGGGGGGCGGCAACCGACGCAGGGAGAGAGCCGCACGGAGTGAAGAGGCAGGCCCACCTCATTGGGCCCGGTGGGTGTCAACGAGGAACCGAGCCTTGGGCCAGACCCCCCGACCGTCACAAAGGCGCCGCACTCTTTTCGAGCGCGACAAGGACACGGACTTAACCCAGCAAAAGGCGGACGTAAACCATGACCAC